AATATAGTTTGTATTGAGTATTCATTGAAATCCTATATCTGTTGTCAAACATAGTGTTAAATACAGCCCACGGAGTGAAATGGGTTTCATTCACCAGATATTGAGACAACTCTAAGGGCTTAATAACTGACAGTTTGTTTGCTTTCGACAAATAAAATGTCTCTAAAATGAATTCCGATCTCTCATTGGCTGTGAGTTTGTCTACAATATTGTCTTCATTGGTGACCAAAGCTGTGATCCATTTGTTCCACTCTTCGAGAGTATAGTCAATGAAATACATTCCTCTGAAGTCGACATTCAATTTGATTAAACCATTAAATTCTGGACTCATATCTGAAATATCAATCGTTTGTTGCTTTTCCTTAATTATAATAATTTTATATTTTTGTGTTTTATTTGTCGTATAATACGAGAGAGGAATTGTCCACAAAGTGCTGAAATGATAAATAATGTATATTTTATTAACTTTTATATTATATTTAAAACATTTTCTTATTTCTTACTCATCTTTTGGTTTTTGTCCGTTTGATAGAAACCTTTCCTGAGTTATAGTAATAGTGTTGGGATTTTGTGGATCTCTTTTGATAGTAATGTATGGAAAACCAGGTTTTGTGGTCCAGTTGTCCATCAAATCATAGATATTTGTATCCATTTCCTTATTGTGTAACAAAATAATTAGTCTCTAAGCAAACCATGTAATTAGAAATGGATTACTTCTGGGAATGTCTTATTCAATGAATCCCACAAATCATTAGTGAGAACTGATTGATATTTGTGTTGTTTTACATAACCACTCATACCAGCCCTGAATGCCTCCCTTCCCATTGTAAACTCCAACATTCGTATAACTGTTGTTGACTTTAAATATAAACTATATTAAAACTAAAACCATTCCAGGTAATTATTAAATAAAACTTAAAAACAAACCTTATAATACATGATTAATTCATCGAAAATGGTAACATCAGAAACATTTTTATAGTTTAATATAATTGGTGGCGATTTGTCAACAGAATCTGCTTTTAATGCATAAGACATTGTTTGATTGGCAAACATGTCCCACTTCAAATTACAATTTATATTATATGAAATTTAAATTAAAACACCAAAATATTTAAGTAATTATCATAGCTCACGTAATTCCAGCTTGGTTCAATGTAATCAATGCCATAATATGACATAAACTCCGCAAACCCTTCATTGAGCCACAAGTGGTCCCAAAAATGACATGTTATTAAGTCTCCAAACCACTAAAATAAGTTATTTTATGTTTTATAAATTCATGAAAATATAATTCATGTATGATTTATTTTAATGTATACTCACCATATGTGCAAATTCATGGGCAACTTCCCTGGCTATAAACATTTTATTAGCACTGGTATATTCATCGGGAGTCCACAATAGGGACTTCTCATTTGTGATAACTAGCCCCCAATTTTCCATACCTCCCGCAAAATTAGGTATGGTTACTAAATCAAGTTTGGGTAGCGAATACTTAACACCAAGGTACTCCTCATACATTGTTAATGGTTTGGCAGCTATTTGGGTGGCGTAACCAAGTTTGGATACCACCTCATGGTTGGAGCAGACTTTGATATCGTAGTCATGACCCTGAGCACTGGCATTGTGACAGACATAATCGCTTACAATAATGGCCAGTAGATATGTGGGCATCGGATCTGTACGTTTGTATGTAGTAGTTGTCCACCCGGGCGCCGGTGTGTCGGGATGGATATCAATAGTCGGCATATTAGTGAGGGTTGTATTCATTATTGATTCGTGTATTAATGTTAAATCAAATTGTGATTTAAACACAGGTTCATCAAAACAGGGAAATACATTACGAGCTCGTGTTGGCTCAAACTGTGTGGTAATCACACCGGTAGTCGTGTTTCCGATACTTTGTGAGGCCTTATAGAGGCCTATATTTGTGTTGATCTCTATTTTTGATGTAAAGTCAAAACTAAGTCGATAGGCATTAGACGCCGACTTTTTAGCTAATTGTATGACAAAGTATTCAAAGGGTTTGTAATGAAGAAATTGTTTGATAGATAACTGATCTCCTGTCCCATTCATGTAGACCCGGGTGTCAGTGATGGTCAGATTATCACCACAATGTATCACAAAATAGTCCACCTCTTTGTGAGCGATTACTTCCATTTCAACGCTTCCATTGAATACATTATTCTTTGTGTCGATTCTTAGTGTCAGAGAGTATTGAAGAGGACGTATCTGTGGGTTGAGTCGGAAGTCATGCCAAGGGTCAGACATACACTCATTGTATTCATTGTCTGATTTATGACTACAAATGATTGCTTGTAATTCTTGGGAACTGTTACTTATGTGATAACTATATGACAATTGTGATGCTCTATGAGATGAGATGATCACATATGAAATTATAATAAATATATACATTATTATTAAAGTATTTATTTTTTAGTTAAATTTAATATAAATTATTATTGGTAATTTATACTAGTTTATAAATTTTTGTGTTTTTATGTTATGCTTTATATAGTTGCTCAATCATTATATCTATTAACAATAGTTTTAATGATAACATGTATGATAAATATACAGTGTCTACTACTACATATTTGAACTTATTTGCACTTTATATACTGATTAAATATTTATTTTTAAATAAATTACATAATGAAGTATAGTAAAACGATTTATAACGTTATATTTAATAGTGCATCAATGATAGATATGACATTTGTCAATTTCACATAATTAAATACAAACATGTAAATATTTTATTGATCAATCTTTATAAATAATATAAACTTAATAAAATTGTATCTTTATAAAGTATATGATTCACAGGTCAATACTTGCCGATAATTAACAACACACATAAATATTATAAAATTGTATAGAAAGTTATATTTGATCATTAGAAAATTATTATTTTATACGGTAATGAAAATACTATTGCAATGAAAATATTATTGTAATGAAATAAATATCAATATGAATTAGTTTCATGAACTTCAATTCATTTTTAATTTATTTTTATTATAATGTCTTAATGATATTGTTCAACATTATTTAGGTAATTAATTGTACAATGCAGTGTAATGTTACGTGTTATGTGTCATTGTAATGTTATGTCATTGTCATGTTAATAAACTTAATTACTTGGATATAAATCTGATTCTTGTTGTGTTGCATATGAAAATTATATTGTAATAGATAACAACAAATACGTAAAATGCAATCCAATAACAGGAATATTAGATTTAAAACTATTGTAAAAATTAATAATTTTATT